AGAGAAACTACCCATTGGTAGAACTCAATAAAAAAATAAAATAAATAAATATAAATTACGAATAAAAATAAATGATAAATTAAAGCACCGATATATCGGTCGTATTAAAACATTTTGTTAGAATAACAACAATAAAAAAAAAAAAAAGATCGTTAAATGTCTTAAAAATCAAGCATTTCAATCCGCTGTGAGGGTTCAGTCTAATTTAACGCCTGCAAGACCAGTCGCTTTCCTGGTTGCCCTCCTGGTCACTCTTTAGTGACGGTATCCCAGGTGGGTTGGATTAGAAGTAGGAACTGCCAGGGTTCGTGAAGTCTTCTCTACTCAACCAAATCTTATGTACAATTTCTAACCTTTAGCAAGTTCACCATTCTTGAAATTAATGGAGCGAACTATTTTGTAATCTTTTCGTGAACGTTATTATAAATCACAATTACTTTGACAGGCCTCACTAACTCTACAATATTAATTACATAAATTACAAGATTTGTTCAAAAACTATGGAAATTTCGACTTAATAATGACAACTTCAAACACATAACATTTACTCTTAGAAAGAACAGCTGACCTTCAGTTAATGTTGACAACAATCAAATTTCTCTAACGGACGCAGTACGTTATTTTGGACTTAGCTTCGATAGAAGGATGACATGGGACCCTCGTGTAAAAATGAAATATAAAATACTTAACAAAAGAATCTATTTTACCCTCTTTTAGCTAGATCTTCAAAATAAAAACCGAGACAGAAACTGAATACGAGTATTCGTATTCAGTTTTTGAAGCATGTATATACTTACTTAAACCCATATGGCCGTACTCATAACAATTATACGTTATCGTTAAAAAGACCAGCCTACAAAAACTTCAAACCTTACAATCAAAATTATTGCGACTTATAATAAAAGCACCTTGGTACGCGACTAACAAAACTTTACATACAGACCTCCATCCTCCAACAGTTGATCAACATATAATGAACCTTTACCATCGATTTTAAACTAATTTTTTGTTTTGATTAAAGAAATTTACAACTGTAATTAATAATAAATACAACAAGTAAATATGACATTTACATCATAATGAGAAACTACCCATTGGAAGCACTCCAATTATATTTCTAAATTAGAAGGTCCCGAGGCCATCTTCTTTTCAGACGCCTTGGAGGGTTATCAGGAATAGAAGAGGAAGCAAGGTTAGAGAGGAGAGGGTTCGGATGGTTCAGAAGCTTATTATGAATGGATAGGTATCTGGATTGAGCTAAATCGGAAACATATGGTACATTAAGGTCTTTATGGATGATTTTATTTGTGACAAAGTAGGGAGCATTGAGGATTTTACGATTTTGGATTGTAGGGATTGGATACGAGAGGAATTTGATGGTTTATTAGAGCCCCAAAGCTCGATCCCGTAAGTCCAAATAGGCCTTATTATAGTAATATATATGAGTCTTTTGTAAATAATTGGCAGTTTAGAGCGTTTGTCTAGTAAGTGCTGGAGTAGTGGGTTCCAAGTGAGTCGTTTGTCTAGGTTGAGACTTTGGTATCGGATTTGGTCAACAGGGATAAGTGGGATATTGTTAAAGGATACTGTAGGACAGGAAGTCACAGGTTTACGACGAAGACACTACTTTAAACTGGCATAATAACAGACTAATATGAGACATGATCACAACTTACGAAATGCACCAGAACATGAGGAGGAGACTAAAAAGGCGTTAAACAACCCAAGTAATTGAAATAAGTTAGGGAAGTGATGCTGTTGAGTACTGTTCTTCTCCATACCTGTCATCTAATTATTTCTTGTATCTCCAGCAAATTCGCTGATTGTTAACAAAAAGTTGACAGACGCAAATAATTTTTTTATAGCCTAAAAATATATATATATATATATTTACTTGGAACCCGAGGCGTAGCTAAGTACGACTGACTATGAAAGACGCAAGCTTTTTTTCCTTTGTAATCCTCTGATTTTCGTTGCTCTCCTTTCTCACCCTTTAGGCTATACGGGATTTTCACAAATCAGAAGAAGGGAAGGCGATTAATACCAGAGTTAAAAGTAAGAGTAAAAAAATAAATCCCCGCATTGTGGTTTTACCTCGTAATCTCGGCTTATTAAATGCCGGTTACCGCTGGGCCACCCCGGTTCCTTACAATCATCTGTTGACTACAGAAAAAAATTATTCCACAATGGTTTATTGTTTCCAGACAATTATACATCTAAAGTAACATTACCTGTTCTTCTCCATACCTGTCATCTAATTATTTCTTGTATCTCCAGCAAATTTGCTGATTGTTAACAAAAAGTTGACAGACGCAAATAATTTTTTTATAGCCTAAAAATATATATATATATTTACTTGGAATCCGTGGCGTAGCTAAGTATGACTGACTACGAAAAACGCAAGCTTTTTTTCCTTTGTAATCCTTTAATTTTCGTTGCTCTCCTTCCTCACCCTTTATGCTATACGGGATTTTCACAAATCAGATGAAGGGAAGGCGATTAATACCAGAGTTAAAAGTAAGAGTAAAAAAATAAATCCCCGCACTGGGATATAAATTCGTAATCTTCGGATTATTAGGTGCCGGTTACCGCTGGGCCACCCCGGTCCCTTACAATCATCTGTTGACTACAGAAAAAAATTATTCCACAATGATTTATTGTTTCCAGACAATTATACATCTAAAGTAACATTACCTTCATAGTTACAAAGAAAAATAAATAAAAGGCGATTCCAATTATTGGACTAAACTTTTTTTTTTTTCAATCATTAGTAATGTGCTAAAAAAAAATAACATTACTTCAGTTAGATATTCAAAATTTAAAAACCGAACAAAGGACATAACATTTGGAGTAGAACATATGCAAAAAAAAAAAAAAAAAAACAGGAGACCATATCTTTGCTCCTAATTGTCCGATTTTAACGATTTTTTAAAGGAAATTCTGTAAACTTTTAAAAAAGCAGTAATGTAGATGAAAGAGGATCATCCTCGGGTGACCTCTGATTTTGTATCCAAATTTGATAAAAATCGGTCCAGTAGTTTCGGAGAAAATGCGCGGACAGCGGACGGACAAAAAAATATTTGTTCGTTTTTCGGATTCTACGCATCCTGAAACGTGAAACCTCAAATTTTGAGAGGGGGTTAAATTTTTGATTTTTTTGGTCGGTCACAATGGTTGATTATTGAAAATAATAAACCAAAAATTACTCTTATCGTTTAGGTACTACTTTTCCTACTAAATAAACTATAATGAAGAGAAGAATAGTTGGGGTGGTCAGTCAAAAAGGAAGGCAAAAATAAATGATAATATTTGACTGACCACCCCAACTATTCTTCTCTTCATTATCCACGACAGTCAACCAATTACCAATTATAAATAAACTATAGTTACCATCACCATAAAGAATTATTTTGAAAAACAGTTACAAATTAGTTTTGTTTGAGTATTTTACTGAACTCCCTTCCCTCCCTTCCTCCCCCCCCAATGCGTCGGGACTGAAACTGGAACAAATCGGTTGTAGTCCAAGTGATCTTTATGGTGGAGGACCTGCTCACTGATTAATGATTAGTGATCAGAGCAAAGATCAGATATTGACGATTCTTTTTTCCTGCATTTACAAATTGCATTTGGCGGACATTTCTCAGGAAAATATATAAGAAACCAAGAGTTAAATGATTGTCATTGTAATTGTAAGGCAACCTGGGCCACCAGATTTATATTATCTTTGATAATTATTCAAGAAGACTAAAAATCTGGTGTGTCCACTCACACGACTTTCCTACCTATTTCAGAAAAGTTTTTATATATTTACATATGTTCATGAACAAACAAAAAAGAATTAAATTAAATTTATTTTCCTGGAAATTGATCAAACAAAAGATTTGAGTACGATTTATTGGATAAACTAAAGCAATGAAACCGACCTAAGGTAGATCAGTGTAAACATTTCAATACTCTCTAATATTGCTGATCATAAACTTTTTGCCATAGCTTAGTGTTGTCAAACAATAATTTCTGTTAAAAGTAGAGGAAATAGTGAAGATTGTGTGATGTGGGCAGATTTTCTTACTTTCCTAGGCTGTGAAACGGATAGATCCGTCGAAAGCCGCATTTCTGAAATTTGACCCGATTGCAATACTTTCCTTACCTAAGTTAAAAAATAGAATAAGCTGTATCATTGCTAATACTGGTTCGATTCTGATGATTTTTTTTGTTTTGTTGGTAATTTAATTACCTTTCAAAAGTTTTATTATAAATTTTACCGTATAATATATACTTAGGGAGTTAGGCCCCATAACATTTTCCTTTTCTTTATAACTTTTTTTCCTTAATTTTTTTGGGAATTTAGTCTATATACGAAAATTGAAAGGAAAATGATTAGAACATCATAGAAAAGTTTCATCAAAATCGTTTGAGCCATTTTCGCGCTACAGCCTATAGAAAAACATGTTTTTTCATTTATTGCGCGCAAGCTATTGAGCATGGAGCAACGAATTTCTGCCACAGGCATCAGTAGTCGAAATCCTACAAAATAAAAAAAGAAGCAACAAAATCGGTTCAGTAGTTCCCGAGAAAATCTTGGCACAGAAAGACAGACCAATGACTAAAAATGTGTTTTTCGGACTTAAGGGGCTGTGAAACAGATAGATCCGTCGAAAGCCACATTTCTGAAATTTGACCAGAATGCAATACTTTCCTTACCTAGTATAGGTAGGGAAGTAAAAAGGAGCTGGAATAAGCCCAAATTGAATTATTTGTGTACTCACAAGATGAATCTCAACTTTCACACTCTGTTTGGTATAAGTTGGTTGCCTGCAGGGTACTTCCTCCTCGTAGACCAGAAATGGGCTACTTAACAGCAATAAGTAGCTTAGGAGCAGCCTTTGGTTATTTATGTACTGTAATTTGGTTATTAGCACTACATTAATTACTCTAGGTTCAATTTAAAAAAAAGTTACATTTCAAAATGAAAGTAATATTTATTATTCTTATGTCCACAGAACGACAAAGATCAATCTGGAGATGATGTTGATGACTCGTGGTTATCGAGCGATGATTCATCCGAGGATGAAGGTAGCAGGGAAGGTTCACCACATAGTTCCTCCACGTCAGTAAGTTCGCTTTCTGAATTCACCCCGTCTCCACCTTCTTCGCCGGTTACTATAAGTTTCTTAAAGAGGAGCCAACCACCTCCACCGTTCCGGGCAAAGAGGATGCGACTCCTTCCGCCCAGAACAGAGTCGGCCGGCGTTTCCGGTCCATTCATTGTTAGACTGCTCCCAGAAGAGGAGATCAACGAAGATTTGAAAATCATCAGAGAGTCTCTAAAAAATTTAAAACCATCGCCGAGCAACGGTAAGAAGTGACCACCCTCGTAGCATTACGGAAATATTTTAAATTAGTGCAATCGATTCAGTGTTCGACGTGTAATATTAATTTGTAAATAAGTTTGATTTTTCAGAGCTTCTATTATATACAACACATATTCTAATAGTTTAAATTGTTGTTGGAAATACGAGAAATGGTAAGTAGTCATGTATATACTTATAAATTTCATTGTTCATAAATATGATATTTCATTATATCCAATTTCGTTTGTATTTGATAATGGATTTTTACCTCCTGGTTACATTTTAAGAAAGTATATTATAATGAGGAAGGATCCATGTTATAAATCCATCATTAGAAATATGTTGATTAAGTTTCTTGTTAGAATACTTACATGGGGTTAGTTTCTACATTTTTTTTTTAGAGAGAAAACAATTAGGGTACGCGCACCAGTGATAGACATAGTTAAGGAAAGTTTTGTATTTTTTAGCTTATGCCGACGTAATTATTATAGTTACAAACTTCTCCGTTGGACATTTAGAATCTCTAGGATCTCCTTTTTCTATGCAACATTTTAAAATATTAAGTTTTGCAGGTATAATGTCCATTAAAAAAATTGAGATTAGGACCTCAAAACAAGAAAATAATTTCCTCTGAAGGCATTTCCGCAAACACTTTGTTTAGGAGATATTCACACCTAAAGATTTTCGTTGTCATGAATTATTTATGTTATATGAAATAAATAAGACCAATTTATTTGTTCTAACTACTTTATTAATTAAATGTAAAGATTGAATTCATATTAAATGTTGTACAAAGTGATTTCCTTGAGCATCTATATATATGTATATATATATATATATATATATATATATATATATATATATATATATATATATATATATATATGGGTATAAAAATATATATATATTTTCTTTTTATTTCATGGCGTTACGGTCCATTAAGAACCAAAGTTTCCTCCAATATCCTGCTCCATTCTACTTTATCCATCGCTTTAGTTCGCCATCGCCTGATGTTCAGCTGGCGGAGGTTCTCTTCCACGTCGTCCAGCCATCGTTTACGAGGCTTACCTCTCCTTCGTGAGCCACCAGGATGACCGTACAGCATTCTTACGTGGGCATCCTTTCGACATGTCCAAGCCAGACCAATCTTCTTTTCTTTATGACATTAACTATGTCCGCTTCCGGAAATAGTTCTTTCAGCTCGGAGTTCGTTCTCGCTCTAAATCCAGCGTCCTCTCGCACAGGTCCAAATATCCTTCTTAGAACTCTTCTCTCCCACGTCCTTAGCCTTTTCTCGTTAGCTGCTATCATAACCCAGATTTCACTGCTGTTAGTTACTGTGGGCCTACTTGTAGTCTTATAAGAGAGATTTTTATAAACTAGGGAAGAGCTCATTGCATATAGACACCTATTCCCAGCAGCAACTTGAGCCTTTATGTCCTCTGTCGTTTCGTTTTCATTCGTGACGAATCCAACAAGATACTTGAAGGTCCTACACAAATGTGTATTTTGACCTCTTCTTCCTTGAAAATACCATCTCTAGTGGTCTTCAGGTATTTCTTTTTTCTTTATTTACAACCAGGCCCAATTCATTAGCAGTTGTTTCAAATTCTTCTTGTGCCCCTGCTGGTGCCGGTATGTTGGGTTAATCTGTTTTTAATGTTTCTTCCTGCCTTGTTTTATTTTTTCTAATAGCATATTCTAAGGCTAGGTTAAAAAGATCTGGAGAAAGAGGATCTCCTTGACGTAGCCCACGTTCCACTTAAAACACATTACACATTTGCGAATGGACTTTCACTCTGCATTTAGTTTCATTCAGCGTCATTTTAATAAGCCTTATTAAATTAAAGCCTTATTTGTGTATGTTCATCTTATCCAAAGCATTAGTTTCTGGTCTATGCTGTCTTACGCTTGCTTATAGCCCTGGAGCTAGGGCCCAAAAATCGACCTGATCGCAGGCGAAGGTTTGATTGTAAATTACGAAAGCGTATGTCATTCTGAGTAAAAAAAACCTTGTCTGCCGTTCCAGAGCCGCTGCTTTCAAAAATGGCGGCTGATTTAAAGAATATTAGGCCAGTGATTTGAGGATCGAAACGGGAAATACATTGCGAAAAATGTGAGAAAAGTTTTTATTTTTCTAACTTGCATATATGGGTTTAGACATGTAAAAAACAAAATTGCTAATGCGGGCCACCAAGGGAAAACTTTTTACAGCCAAAAAAGTCAGATTTTTTCGATATTTTTTGGGTTTTTCATCTATAACTCCTAAATGCATCAAAGCGAAAAATGTATTCCGTAATAAATTAAAGATCGTTAAATTTTGCGTCAAATGAGTACATAAACTTTAAAATTTGGTAACGCGGTAAGGTATAAAACCACGGTCAACCAACGCTGAACTTTAACAAATTTGTCGAAAACTGAGACAAATTACTATCAATGTCGGTGTAACTTGGAAATGAGTTCCCTAAGAGGAAAACCCATAGAATGAAAGTTGTAGTGCATCAAATTTCATCATCAAATCCCTTCTTGGACATTGTCTAGATGAATAACCAAAAAAGAACAAAAAGGCGGAAACGCCATGCTAACAACAATAGTCCCTCTGATATTAGATATTAATAGTTTGAAAAATGATAGTAATTAATACATAATTGATCAGTAATAAATATCATATGTTTGTAATTAAATCCCAGATGCTTTATAGCTTTATCAATAATAATCAGTAAATCAACACTTTAATTAAAAAATATAAATTGATTTTTCAATGGGTGGATTTTATTTTTTACCTGACGATAAAATTTGTTGGATTCTTTAATTTATTTAATATCGTTTGGATTTAGGTCTATTTGTATTTCACTGTAAAATATTGCTGGTGGAATAAATAAATAAATAATCTTGTTACTTCAACCTTAAAAAAATAATTTACAATTGCATTGTTTCAGTTTTAAACAATACTTGTTATAATTTTGCCAGACTTGAAAGAAACATAGGAAAAATATTGGGACGAAACCGATAACAAAATTCCAATTTTCAAATATTTTATTTTCTAGAAATGTTTTGTATCATCTTGAACGTAGATAGCTGTGGCATAGAATATGCAAGCAATGATTATTTTTTTTAAATGTCTCTCATAACGAAATTTGTAGGAACATTCGCTTTTTAAAAATAAATAGTTACAAGGAACACAAGGATATGCAATTTATAGGGATGTGAGGTGTGGGGAGGGAAGGTACATGTTATGGAGTTCTGTCCCACAGACTATCCCCGCTTATTATTATTTTTTTTTTTCTTTAATATTTAAATCAAAATCCTATTTTTCCAGAGATTTATATTTTTCAATTATCAAAGCTGTAAATTTTGGTTTATTATTTTCAATAACCAATCATTGTGATCGACCGAAAAATTCGAAAACTTAACCCCCTCACAAAATTTGAGGTTTCACGTTTCAGGAGGCGTAGAATTCGAAAAACGAATAAAAAATTTTTTGTCCGTCCGCCGTCCACGCATTTTCTCTGAAACTACTTACTTTCAAAATGGCGGCCGAAAAACCTGCGTTGCTATAGACTGTAGCTCCAAAACGAATGTACAGATTTCAATGAAACTTCGCTAAAGTAATTTTCTCGACGGCCTTTAAATTTATCTATATAACATACTTCAACTGAAAGAAGCTGGAAAAAAAGTTACGAGGGATGGTAAAATTAAATTCCGAATAACTCGAAAAGTTTATACTTTTTTGTTGATACTGTGATTAAATGTTCCAAAGGTATTTAAATTTCCTAAAAAAAAAAAAAAAAAATTGTTGAAATCGGACAATTAGGAGCAAAGGTATGGACTCCGGTTTTTCTATATGTTATACTCCAAAAGTTATATCCTTGGTTTGATTTTTAAGTTTTGAATATGTTACTGAACTAATACTATTTTTTTTAGCATATTACCAATGATTAAAAAAAAAAAGTTTAGTCCAATAATTGGAATCACCTCTTGTTTATTTTTCTTTATAACTCGGAAGGTAATGTTCCTTTAGATGTATAATTGTTTGCAAATAATAAACCATTGTGAAATAATTTGCAGCGTTTTTTTTTTCTAATGAACTTTCTAATTGATTGTATTATTCCCGATCTTGTTATTTTATTATTTTAGAAATATTCATTAGTAAGAGGTTCGTGCGTCTTTGACCTCGGGGGAAGGGAGGGGGAGGGAGGAACAGTCACCGCTGATAATTGACGTTTTTCTTATTGAAATATTGATAGTAATTAACTTGAGCTTCTTCAGTACTGGATAAATGCCCTGATGATGACTCACATGCTAGGGTCGAAACGTCGGCCACAATAAAAACTTAAAATAAAATCCTGATTATTTATCAGCTACTATATGTTGAGCAGTCGATTAACTTCTTTCAATTGCATTGAAGCCTACATAATTATTCTAAAGATCGTCATTCTACGTGGATGGGGTGTCCGAATGGGCTAACGCGTGTGCAAAACACACGTAGCTCGGCTACCTGATAAAACGAAGCTATAAGAACTAGAAAAAAGTTTGAATTTTTCACGCTTATCTATATAACAGAGAATTGTAAAACTACAGGTCTGTCCGTCTATCTCAACTTGTTAACAAATTACATAATGCGATATTTGAAAGAAGATTGCTAGAAAGCAAACAGAAGACCTTATCTTTGGTGTACAATCAGAGAAAAGGCGTAGGGACAACAGTGTGTGTTAGACCTTCTTTGATATGAAATCAGTATTCAATTCTTTTCTTTTCTTCAATGCCAAGGGAAGAAAAATAGGATACAATAAAAAAGAAGACCATCTTTATCTAAGCTAAGAAACCTTATCTAAGCTATTCAATAATTGTTGTCCAAAATCGGCCAAGACCAAGACCTCCTGATTGTTGCAAGACCAAGACTGATAAAAAAAAGAAATCGTTTTCGTGAATATAAATTAAAGCAAACTATTTAGTAATTTTACACAATTTTAGTTACTATACTTAAAGAAATGGTAGAACTTACAATTATTCAT